ACAAGCTAGGCTTCAACAGTACGTGGATAGAGAACTACCAGAAGTACAAGCTGGGTTTCGAAGAGGTAGAGGAACTAGAGATCAAATTGCCAACATTCGCTGGATTATGGAGAAAGCAAGAGAGTACCAGAAAAATATCTACTTCTGCTTCATTGACTATGCTAAAGCTTTTGACTGTGTGGATCACAACAAACTATGGCAGGGCCTTAAAGAGATGGGAGTACCAGACCACCTCACATGTCTCTTGAGAAACCTGTATAAGGGCCAAGAAGCGACAGTTAGAACCGGATATGGAACAACTGATTGGTTCAGCATAGGAAAAGGAGTACGACAAGGATGTATATTGTCGCCTTGCTTATTTAATATATATGCAGAGTACATCATGCGAAATGCTGGCCTGGATGAATCACAAGCGGGAATTAAGATTGCTGGGGAAAAGATCAACAACCTCAGATATGCAGACGATACCACTCTAATGGCAGAAAGTGAAGAGGACCTAAAGAGCCTCTTGCTCAGGGTAAAAGAGGAGAGCGCAAAAGTGGGCTTGAAGCTCAACATCAAAAAAACTAAGATCATGGCATCCGGCCCCATCACTCCTTGGCAAATAGAAGGGGAAGCTGTGGAAGTAGTGACAGACTTCACGTTCCTGGGATCCCAGATCACTGCAGACTGTGACAGTAGTCATGAAATTAAAAGACGCCTGCTCCTTGGGAGGAAAGCGATGGGGAACCTAAACAGCATGATAAAAAGTAGAGACATCACCCTGCCAACAAAAGTCCGCATGGTCAAAGCAATGGTATTCCCAGTAGTCATGTATGGCTGCGAGAGTTGGACTATAAGGAAGGCCGAGCGCCGAAGAATAGATTCTTTTGAACTATGGTGCTGGAGAAGACTCTTGAGAGTCCCTTGGACTGCAAGAAGATCAAATCAGTCCATCCTAAAAGAAATCAACCCTGACTGTTCCCTGGAAGGCCAGATAATGAAACTGAAGCTCAAATACTTTGGCCACCCAATAAGAAGGGAGCACTCACTGGAGAAGACCCTGATGCTGGGAAAGATTGAAGGTCAAAGGTGACGGGGACGGCAAAGGATGAGATGGTTAGACAGTGTCATAGATGCAACGAACATGAAATCGAGCCAACTTCAGAGGACAGCGGAAGACAGGAGGGCCTGGCGTGATCTGGTCCATGGGGTCGCGAAGAGTCGGACTCGACTGTGCGACTGGACAACAAAAAGCTTGACTTGTACGTAGCCCTTAGCACCATGCAACAGTGCTTTTATGGCCTTACTTGAGCCCCAAAGGTAGCTTGCTCCATTCCTGTATGGGCCTGATAGTCCGCAAACCCTGGACATTGCTTCTTTCAGCGCAAAAAGATTTCTGGCCGTTCTGGTAGCTGAGCAAGTTTAGAGGGGTAGCCATGTTAGTCTATTGTAGCTGGACAAAACAGCAGTCTGGTCAAGGCACAGTAAAGGCTAACAAAGTTTATTCCAGCCCTGTCTTACATGCCCAGGGTAATGCTATTCATCAGTTTGGGTTCAGGAAGGAATTTTCCTCCAGTCCAGATTGGCCCAGGAACCCTGGAAAGTTCTTTGCCTTCTTCTGAGCATAGAGCGAGGGTGGGGTGGGGTGGGTCATTGGGGGGACTGGATGGGGTGGTTGTGGAATTCCTGTGTTGCATATGGGGGTTGGACTAGATGATCCTTGGGTTCCCTTCCAGCTCTGTGTTTCTGTACTTTTGCGAACTAGACCTCACTTCATGAGATACACCACAGATCTGTCTGTAGAACTGAAGTGGAATACAGAAAATAATTTCCTCTTTGTAGCAAGGTCTGACTCTTAAAAAAAAAAATCATGCTGGTATCCATGTTTTCAGTCTAAATCATGCCCTCGGACTTTGGGGTTGTTCTAAACAAGTTTCTCAACCTGATGGTGTTCCGAAACCAAAAGGAAGTTAGAAAGAGGCCCAAACGTGTTGGCTTCTCAAATCTCCCTGCTAAGCTCATTTTAATGCCCAGGAAGCAGGGGTTTCATTTCTGGCGTCAACTATTCCAGAATAAAAATACTCCGGAATTAACTGCAATATGTCCACCAGCTGTGTCTTGGCACCGCTCCACTCCTTTGTGCGAATGAGTTTCGGCATATGTTAATTATCTTAATAACAGAACTGTGCGTGTTTGTTATGTGCACAGATCATAATGTTTGCAGCGTAGCTCATGATCTGATTCCAGCACACGGCTCTCCGTGCTAGACCCGTTCTGTGCCTTTTGGTTGTAGTCTTGGCTTCAGATGAAAATGCAAGAGGTCTCCCTCCCCCCACCCCCCCATTTTTTAATTTCTGGAGGTAATGAACTGCTGTCGAAAGCTGCTGTATCCAAATAAACTTCCAATTACATTGGCAGGCCTGTTCTCCCGAAACCTCATTCTACTGTGTTTGTGCTAATATTCGGTTCAGGCCATGCTAATTTTAGATTAGCTGCAGGCCTCCCCCCCCCCCCCCCCGCCCCCAGAACAATAAAGAAATGTTATAAGCTTCAGGAGTTGATGGATGTTCAGACTCTCTCCCCCCCCTTTCATTCAATTTAGTTTTTTATAAAGGGCTGTGTGAACGAAAGGAAACAAATGGGTTTTGAAACTTGTTTGTCCATTGGCTTTATTATAAGCACGTAAGGTAAAGGTAAAGGTTCCCTTGCTCGAAAGCCAGTCGAATCCGACTCTAGGGTTGCGGTGCTCATCTCCGTTTCAAAGCCGAAGAGCCAGCGCTGTCCGAAGACGTTTCCGTGGTCATGTGGCCGGCATGACTAAACACCGAGGTGCACGGAACGCTGTTCCCTTCCCACCGAAGTGGTTCCTATTTATCTACTTGCAATTTCTTGCTTTCGAACTGCTAGGTTGGCAGGAGCTGGAACTAGAGACAGGAGCTCACCCTGTCTTGCGGCACCCGGGTCTTGAACCACTGAACTACTGACCTTCCACAGCCTGCAGTTCAGCGTCTTAACCACTTGAGCCCCCGCACTGGGGGGGAGCACTGCGTACTGGGGGTTATTAACCGCTTTCTGTTTTAAGAGATGACTCCCTTTGCTCGAAGTTGAGCTGGAATGGTTGGGTATCCGCTTTGTTACTTAAACTAGGCAATGCCATGGCCACAGGCCAGGTTTCTTGAACACACATGAAGCTGCCTTACATCGAATCAGATGCAAAAGAGAAAAGCCAGCTGTATGCAAGCGCTATACAAAATCAATGCTCAAAAAACACGAGGGAAAAAGCTTCATAGTGCTGATGTCAAACCACGTATAAATGACAGTGATACAAAAAACAAGGAAGGGAGGTCCAAAAAAGGGCAGGTTGGCGACGTTTTCCGGAATACAAAATTCGTTTCGACTGGCTTCATCCTGACGGGACCTCGTGGGACAATAAGATGTCTTCTACGTTTCGTTCTGTGCCCTCCTTCCCGAATGTCTCTTTGGAATATTTCACTGCCGCGGTAGAATATAGCACCAAAGCATACGATGAGAGTTTTATGAAGTGGAATGATCTTCGCTATCATACTCTATGATGAATGAAACTTAGAAGACCTTATTGTTCTACGAGGCCCTGTTCAGATGAAGCCAGTCGGAACAAATATTGTATTCCGGAAAACTTCGCCGACCTGTCCTTTTTTGGACCTCCCTTCCTTCTTCTTTGTATCATTGTCACGTATACATGGTTTGATATCAGCACTATAAAGCTTTTTGCCAAGTCTTTTGAGCACTGATTTTGTATAGCGCGTGCATACAGCTTGCTTTTTCTTTTACATTGAATCAGACCATCAGTCCATCAAGGTCAGTATTGTCTACTCTGGGGTCCCCAATGTGGGATGACCCCTGTTGACACCTTTTCCGACACCCGCCAAGTGCTGTTAGAAAGTGGGTGGTGGCAGCTGGGGCTTTTCTCAAGCAAGGCTTCTGATTGGCCATTGGACATTTGATTGGCTGTGCAGATTTTTAAAAACATTGCTTTGGCAGCAGCTGCCCCCTCAACACAAGGATCTTCATTCTGTCACTGAAGTGCGGCAGCCATTTTGTGGCTGTCTCCACCTCCTGCGGCAGCCATTTTGTGGCTGTCTCCACCTCATGCGGCAGCCATTTTGTGGCAGCCATTCTGTGGCAACGCTCACCACGCTGTGTCAGAATTCCAAAGGTGCCCACAGGGTCGAAAATATTGGGAACCCTTGGTCCACTCAGACTGGCAGTGGTTCTCCCGGATCTTAGGTAGAGGTCTTTCTCTTCACCTGCCTGGTCCTTTCAACTGGAGATGCCAGGGGTTCAATCTGGGCCTTTCTACATGCCAAGCAAATGCTGTGCCACTGAGCCATAACTCCCCTTTTCCGAAATGTCTAGCCCAGGGGTGTCGAACTCATTTGTTATGAGGGCCGGATCTGACATAAATGAGACCTTGTTGGGCTGGGCCATGTGTGTGATAAAATGTAATGCCAGGTAGCAGAGATATAAATTTTATAAAGGACACAAACACAAAGGTTTTTTAAAAAAAACATAAAATAAAATCATGCTTAAAACATTAGCACTCGTGCAATATTTTGTTTATCTAACAGTGTCTGCTAACTGACACCTCTTGCTCTGAATTATGGCATCAAAATGTCAGGGCTGTTACCATCTTGAGTATGCTGCTCAGGTGTGCATCTGTAAGCTGCAAACCTACAATGACGCAGCGGCAGCAGAACTGGAAGAAAAAGCAGAAGACAGCCAGTTCCACTGCGGGCCTGAGAAAAGCCCTCTGAGGGCCTCATACAGCCCCCGGGCCACATGTTTGACACCTCTGGTCTAGCCCCTGTGCGAGATGGGTTCCCCCCCGGGTTTTTTTTCTTTTTGTTTTTCACATTTAGGTGATGCTGTGGTTGTCTGTTGGCTTTATGTCCTCTGCCCCTGCCATACATTGCCAGAGATCTTGGTTAACTCACTTCCTGCCACACTGAGATCTGTCACTGCTTCCATTCTCGCTGCAGGAGACTTTGAGATCGTGAACAGCGCGACTAAGAAGCACACTCGAGACGTCGGCCTGACTTTCCCCACGCCGACGTCCAGCCAAACGAAGCTGCAGGGAGGTCGCTGGCATGGAGCGGAGGACGGGTTAACTCGGCCAGACGGGCCGCTTTTGGGGAACAAGGGCAAGCAGAAGAGACAACCGCGTGGCTTGCTTGCGGAGAAAAGGACGACGAGGAACACGCCGAAGTGCCTGCAAGGTCTGTGGTGGCCGCCGTGTCTCCTGTGAACGGGAAGGGATTTCTGGGCTGCATTACTGAGAATCTGACCTACTTGCCCCGTATGACTAGAATTCGTTTTGTTTCTAGCTGTGAAGTCAAAGCTGAGTTATGGTAACCCCAGTAGTTTTCAAGGGGAGAGCTTTTCCATTGCCTGCCTCTATGTAGCAGTCAGTGTGCAACTGCAAATAAAAAAGGCCAACGCTATGCTGGGGATTATCAAGAAGGCAATTGAAAACAAATCACCCTGTATAAATCGATGGTGCGTCTTCATTTGGAGTACTGTGTACAGTTCTGGTCACCACACCTCAGAAAAGATATGATAGCATTGGGAAAACTGCAGAAAAGGGCAACTAGAATGATCAAAGGGTTGGAACACTTTCCCTATGAAGAAAGGTTAAAGCGCTTGGGGCTCTTTAGCTTGGAGACACGACGACTGAGGGGTGACATGATTGAGGTTTATAAGATTATGCATGGGAAAGAGCAGGTAGGGAAATCCTTCCGTTTGGAAGCCCCCGGCTCCCTCCGAATCCTCTACGTGGCCTCGGGGCCCCGATGGTTCGAACATCCACTCTTCGAGGTCTTGCTCAGAACACCCCTTCTCCGAGGTAGCCCCCGGCTCTGGGAACAATCCCTTGTCAAACAGACTTTCACGTAATCCGCTCCCTCGACGGGAGTACACCTCTCGGGTGCCCTGAGTGTTGTACATAGTCCAGTCATCCTGCTGTTGAGTCTTCCGCGGACCCCAGTGCGAAGGGGTCGGAGGCGGCCAAGACAGATGTGCAGGCCGGCGGGGAATCGTTCCCCCCACGGCACCCTCCAGCGAGGCTGCCGTCACCAAAGGAGCGGAGGTGTGTGGGACCGATCCTGAATCCCCCTCCGTTTTCGGTAGGTCTCCCTCAGCTCCGCTCATGATCTTGCCAGATTCGGAACGATAGGAGAAAGGGAGTTCTAACAATATGTTGGATCCCCAAGCATCGAGAATAAATCCACGTTTTCAAGAAAAGCAAAATTTATTTCAAAGCGTTGAAGACATACTCAAACACGTTCTTTGTTAGAACTGGGGATACACAGGTAGGGCGAGCATAATAAAGGAAATTCAAACAGATACATATCCAATGAATAACATTCCCGCTGGCGGGCTAATGAAACGGTTGCGCGCCCAGTCCATGGGAACCAGGCAGAACATCAGACAAAACACAGGTGCAGTTCTCATGAGATAGCAATAGGCAAGCATTACAGCATCTTCTCCCCCACACATCCACCAGTAGTTATCTTATGCATTCCAGCACAGAAGCAGGATAGTAGAAACAAGCCGGGTGCAACAGGGTAAGGATATGTACACAGAGGTCACAGAAAACAGAATGGCAGCTTGCTGACAGTGTCTTAAATTAAAGGGGGGGGAGAATGTATGGGAAAAATCAGGGGTCATTTCGTAGAAAAAGAGGTGCAGGAGCTCATTAGCATAACTCATTTGCATATGCCACACACCCTGACATCACCGGAAGTGTGTCAGAAGGCAACACCCACTGCTCAGGCGCCACTGGACTGTTTTGGATTGCTAGCTATGGGGGGGGGGGATGTGCAGATCTGTCCTCGCAGAGGAGGGAGAGCTTGTACCTGAAGGCGGGCCGGGGGGGGGGGCTCTGCAACTTACCTGGCTGCTTCTTGCTCCTTGTGGCCCGACTGAGGGCTGCTGGGAGCAGGGGGTGGGGCTTGTTGCGTGTGCCCGCCCCCTGGGCTCCTTACTGCCGGAACTCCGCTCCTGTGCGTTCCTGCAGGAAATGACCCCTGGGGAAAATGCCTCTGCTTCAGAACATTCGCTGCATTTTTTAGGCCAAGTCCCGTATCTTACATATTTTTTGGATCCCTCCTTCATCTTCTGTCTGGCTTACAGCATGGATGGTTTCCGCACCATGCCAAGTTCCTTTTCTTCCTTACTTGTTTTTGACAGTCTAAATCCTTGCTTTAAACGCCCAGTGGGGGGAGGGATCGGTCCACAGGAGCGACAGGAATACAAATGGATCGACCTTCAGCAATCCCAACAGGCATGCAGTTCATTCCACAGTCATCTTGGGGGATATCTTGACCATTTAAAACGAACGTGTCAGTCTACAACAGACCAAACGAAAACTCGTTTCTGTATTGCACAGACACGCAAGCCAAATGTATTATTCTGCCGAGCAAGAGGTGTGCTGACCGAGCATAAAGTATCCTAAGATTGAGGCCTGTAAATCAATGGATTCAAGGACCCTGTGACTTCATCAGCATTTGAATGCATGGCTTATAGACAGAACTTGTGTATGGACTTATTTTTAGATATTTGGAAATCTTTTATTTTTAATTAATTAACTAAAACATTTATATCTGACCTTTCCTCTTGGTTCAAGGTGGATTACAATAATAGTTAAAACAGCCCCAGCTAAAACCAAAGATAAAATAACAAACCCCTGATCCCTCCTGCCCCTTTAAAAGATGTCTGCTATTCAAAGTTTGTTGTAAGCTGCCTGAGCCGGCTTTGGCTGAGAGAGTGGGGTAAAAGTTCAAATAAATAAATAAAAGTTATGTGTAGATCTACCACCACTGTTATATTTTTGTTTCCATTTCATTCATATATATATGTGTGTGTGTGTGTGTGTGTGCTTTCCTTGGTTTTTTTTAGTTTCTGGATTTTGAGTGCTTTCCCGTTTTTTCTAATTTATTTAAAGGCCGAAATTTTAAAAGGGGGTGAGGTTTGGTCTTTAAGGACAACGAGGGCTGAGAACAAAACATGCAACAACATTGGTAAGGTAAAGGTTTCCCTTGCTCGAAAGCCAGTCGAATCCGACTCTAGGGATGCGGTGCTCATCTCCGTTTCAAAGCCGAAGAGCCAGCGCTGTCCAGTGACATTTCCTTGGTCATGTGGCTGGCGTGACTAGATGCCGAGGCGCACGGAATGCTGTTACCTTCCCACCAAAGCGGTTCCTATTTATATACTTGCAATTTCTTGCTTTCGAACTGCTAGGTTGGCAGGAGATGGGGCCAAAGACGGGAGCTCACTCCGTCATGTGGCACACTCGGGTCTCGAACTGCCGAACTACCGACCTTCCGGTCTGCAGTTCAGCGTCTTAACCACTTGAGCCACCGCAGCCCCTAACAACATTGGTACAGCTCCCCATTTCTCTACCCTGGTATTCTGGAAGCAAACTCTGGAAAATGCAAGCCACACTGGTCTAAAAGCATTCTATTGTTGTTGTTCTTCTCCTGTTAGGAGTTTCCTGGTTTGTTCCCGCAGAGGATTTGAAATCTGATCCTAAGAAGGAAGCTGGATCCGGCGCTGTTCTCGGCCCCGGCCCCTCCTGGTTCAAACCGCTGACAGGCACCAAGCCGTGGCGGGAGCCCCTCCGCGAGAAGAACTGGCCCGAGGACCCCAGTGGCCTCCAGGTGCGTCTGACGGCTCCCGCGAGAGACATTGAGAATGAGCCGCCCCCTCCTTACGTGAAACTGTCGCTGCAGGTAAAACCCAGGCTCTGCTCTTGGGCTGCACGTCTGGCTTTTGCTGTCTGGTCCGTGTGGGCGGTTTGGCTGCAAACGAGGCATTTCATCTTGCACTGGCTTAGCAGGAGCCAAGCATATGGTGCTCTTTCTGTGTGGTGAGATGTGTTGTGTGTGTGAGCATTACTGTCCCTTTAAAAAAAATGAGAAGAAAACTTAACCATTGCTGGTGCTGGGCAGCCGTTTGAGAGAATTAATTTTCTTCCATTCTAACTCAGACACTGGGCCAGACAGCTACTTATTTTTGCTCTTTAACTGACCCCCTACAAAGAAGGGCATTTTTTGTTAGCCAGATTTAACGCATTGCCATCGGCCATCTTCTCTGGAAGATGCTATAAAATCCCTTACAAACTTAGACAATGGCCTTGTAGTCAGGGTGCCATCGAATCCGTCTACCACGTTCTTTTAAATTGACCATTTTATACTAATACCCGGGATACATTTCTGGACACCCTTCTTTTTACATGGCGTGGTCTCCCTGAGAGTGTTGAAGTCCAGTGGCTACTCTCGGGGCAAAACTCTTCTATGACTTTTAACGTTGCCTGTTTTCTTCTGTGGCAGTGAATTCCATGTGTTAATCACTCTTTGGGTGAAGAAGTACTTTTATCTGTTCTAACCCGACTGCTCAGCAGTGCCCCACGAATTAGCTTATACCCAGAATAAAACTTTGTGGGTCTTAAAGGTGCCCATTGGACTCACACTTTGTTCCGTTCAACCCTGTGTGTTTTGCGGGACAGCTGAAGCATGAATTTACCACCTGAGCGAGAGGCCCGAGTGCCTGTCCTCTTCTGCAGACGGTCAGTCCGGCCCTCTTTTGGGCTTCCCGCCCTCAGCATCACCCTCCTCCAAGGGGGAGAATTCTAAGGGAAGAAGAAGGTTGTTTCCAGAGGTCATCTTGATTCCACTGCCATCGGTCTGCCATGTTCCGTTCTAGAACCATGTGGCCAGGAGCGCCAAACAAGAACTAGGGATAATGTGCAGAGCCAATGACCCGAGCGCATGTTCTCATCAAGGAATGTCATATCAAGGAATCAAACATTGAACATATCAAGGAATTAAACATTTGCAGAACGGGCGTTAATACCTAAGTGGGCCAGGCCCGCCTTGAATTCAGCCCTTCCTCACTCTTGAACTCCTGATACCGACAGAATGTTGTGAAGTTGGGCCAGGAGGTTACAAGGATGTGGAAGTGCTCCCGTCTGCTCTTTGAAACTGCAGCCCAGAGCACCAGAGCTGGCCCGGGGTCCTAGGGCTGCCAACTTCAGGCTGGGAAATTCTTGGAGTTTTAGGGGAGGACCCTCAGTGGAATATAATCGGGTCATTTCGTAGAAAAAGAGGTGCAGGAGCTCATTAGCATAGCCCATTAGCATAACTTATTTGCATATGCCACACCCCCTGGCATCACCGGAAGTGTGTCAGAAGGCAACACCCACCGCTCAGGCTCCACTGGACTGTTTTGGATTGCTAGCTATTGGGGGGGGACGGGACGTGCAGATCTGTCATCACAGAGGAGGGAGAGCTCGTACCTGAATGAAAGTTGGTCTTAAAGGTGCCATTGGACTGTTTTGGACCGGGGAGCTTGGGGGGGGGGGCCCTCTGCAACTTACCTGGCTGCTTCTTGCTCTGACTGAGGGCTGCTGGGCACAGGGGGGGGGG